CAGCGATTCAAACACATCAATCTGGTTCTTGGGAGAATGATGAAGTTGTCTACTCTCATAAAGGGTCAATCCCATAATCCCTAATGAGCAGGTCTAGTCTGCCCGATAGGGTACCTATGAATCAGATATTAGTGTTTTTTTCTTCTTTACAAATTGAAGGTTTATGACAACCCTACATTAAACATATCTATTGATGCCATTTTCCCAACTTCATGTGCTTACATCATGTCTTGTGTCCTGTTTTGGTCATTCTCACAATATTTCAGTTTTTCATAATGTTACTGCATAGTTAATAAACTACATTATAGTGTAAACATAACTTTCATATGCAATGGGAAACCAAAAATGTCTACTCCCAGTCTCCAAAACCCACAGAGGTAGTTCTACTCTGTCCTATAGGGTCACATAGATTGTAGTCCTGTAGATGAACACTAAAGGTAATCAGACAATGCTAATATCAGGAAAGTTCAGAGAAGAGTCATCTGCTGGTTGTGCAGTTAAGAAGCTGATGAATTGGGATGTGGAGTGTGAGAAAAAGAAGAGTGGAATATAGCAATAATGTATCTCCCTGAATTTTATTATTTTTTAAAATTATTTTATTAGGGGCTCATACAACTCTTATCACAATCCATACACACATCAATTGTGTAAAGCACATTTGTACATTCATTGCCCTCATCATTCACAAAATATTTGCTCTCCACTTAAGCCCCTGGCATCAGCTTCTCCCTGAATTATTATAAGAGCATCCTAGGTAGTTTCTCTGCCTTCTTTTGAGCCCCATTCAGCCATCTATCAGTTTTGGAGACTGATATTACAAAGAAGGTGTGATTCTCCATGAGAATATAATGGAGAGAAGTGGGATGTAAAGCAGACCAAAAAATTCTCTCAGAGAAAGCATTCCATCTTTGATTAAGTAATAAAGCCGTTTTCTAAGCACTAACACAGGCATTCTTTTTTTTTTTGATACTTAAAATGTTCCATTTTATAGATGATAAAATAGAGGGCTAGAGAAGTCCTATAGCTATCACAGTTAATTCATTGCAGCGTGCACCCAAAACTCAAATCTTCTTGTATATGCTTCTTGTAAATGCCGGTAACTAGATCTAATTAGAGGGAGCCCGAGTGGTGTAGTGGCTATGTGTTGAGTTACTAACCTTAAGGTTGGCAGTTCTAAACCATGAACCAGAGGTGGAGAAAGATGATGTTTTCTACTCCTATAAAGAGTTACAGTCCTGGAGAGACCCACAGAGGCAGTTCTAGCCTGTCCTATAGGGTCTCTATGAGTCAGAATTGACTAGATGGCAGTGAGACTTAATCAGAGATGGCTAACCCCAAGCAAGTAAAAGTGTTGTAGCGTCTCTGAGTTGGAATTGATTCAATGGCATTGAGATTTAATCAGGGGTGGCAACCCCAAGAAAGTAGAAGTGCTGCCTTTGTACCATTCTGCCCTTGGCCAAGCAACTGCACAGGCAACTTTAACCAGGGTGTTTAGCGTCCAGAAGAACAGATGCAGGGTGATGGGTATTGACGTTAAAGAATTGTTAAATACTCTTCCAGACAAGCAGAGACGCTGCTTATTGTCCACTGCATGGTGTGTGGGTGGGGGGAAAGGGAGTG